ACTGCACAATCTGAGAGGAACAGAGAGGAAAGACTCACTAGGACCCCTCTGCCAGGCCCAGGGTTGTCTAGGGTTTCTTCAGGGCAGGTAGGAATGGCACAACATGCCCAAAGTTCCCTCAAGAGGCCATGGTAAAACCTAGGAGCTCTGCTAGCTCATCCAGTGCCTGCCCTTCCCTGATTAACCCATCCCTCCAGGTCGTGAAACCCATCCAACACCTCCTGCCTAATGCTGGAGCATGGGAAGGGCTTGGACACGTGCAGTTAACAGCCCAGGTAGGAAGGACCCAGCCTCAGCACCTTGGAAGGTGGTTTGGGATGGACAGGCAGATCTGGTCCAGGCCTCCCTCTCTTTCAGCAGCTGGGCTCTCCCCAGCACAGCACAGATCCCCAGGCTCCATTTCCCACTCCCAGCTGGCCCCCTGCCTCATGGCCTCACCGTGCAGTTGTATTTCACACAGTCCTCCCAAAAGTGTGAGGCTGAGAACTTCTTGCGGATGACAATCGTCATGCCCTGCAGCAGGCACTGCCCGATCCCCACGATGTTCCCTGTGGAGAGGCAGCAGGGAAAGCCCTCAGACCCCACACACCTCCCCCCTAGCACACCTGGGAAGCCTGGCAGGGCAAGACAGAGGGCACGTCCTGGCTCACAGCACTGGGGGTTCACCTAACCAAAGGCCCCAGGACCAAAAGCACAGGGGAGGAGACACATGGCAGCGAGATGTAGGGCAGCACTTTGCACCTAGACATCTCAGCATGTCTCAGCCAGGCAGGCAGGCACTGCTTCCCCTTCCCCTTGACTTTCCACCCTGACTTTTCTGAGCAGCAATAAGGAGCAGTTGTTCCAAAGCCGAGATAGGAGCTGTGATAACACCCCACACACACTCCCCACTCCAAAGGTCAGTGAGATCGATTCTTGGCTCCCAGGGAAAACACGGAAAGCCTCAGTCACACACTGGGAGCAACAGTCAGCTCCCCCTCAACATGGAAATCGCTGCTACACCAGCCTCCAGCCCTGGGCTTGGCCGAGGGAAGAGTCAGCCCCACATGGCAGGCACACATTACCTGCAGCGTGGTAGAGCGGGAGGCAGTCGTACATCACATCGTCAGAATTCATGCGAAAACCATAAAAAACTAAGCTGGACATGCGGAAGTACCTGGAGGAAGGGTGAAGAGGAATGTCAGGAGCAGGGCTGGAGGTGCTGTGCTAGGACAGGGCAGAGCTCAGCCCTGTCCTTCCTCAAGCCCCTGCCCACGGCCTTACCGGCAGTTCACCACAATGGCAGCCTTGGGCAGCCCCGTCGTGCCAGAGGTGTAGATGTAGAAGAGTTTATCTGGAGAGCAATGAGAAGACAGGGTCACATTCCCAATCTAAGAGCTGGCTGAACCAGGAGAGGGGGACAGGTGAAATTTATACACTCTGCTCATGCCAGTTGAGCCAAAACTTTGTTAGCTGACAGCATGTTCATACATGCTAGGATCACCCCAGGCTGATCAGGTCTGTTGGACACAACAGGATACTGCACCACACAGGGCCGGGCTTCAGACACTGGAGTAAGACCCCTCCCAAACACCCCATGCCATCAGCAGCATCCTGAACAGACAATCTTGCTAGAGTTATAACTGTCTGATCCACAAAACGTGACAAGATTGGCTTCCAAGAGCTGACACATACCGAGAAAGCCCTTATCAGGGGGAGTTGGCTGGTGCCGATGGGCCATCTGCAGGAGTGGATCCAGATGTTTTGCACCAGGAAGCACAGACTGGGGACTTTCTTCCCCAGACCAGAAGAGGTGGATGGATTTCTCCAGGGAGGGCTGCACTTCCTGCATTGCTAAGAAAGTAAAGAGGGGAGCTGGAGAAAGACTGCAGGATGATTACAGCACAGACACCCCTGCCCTCCCAGACAGTCTCAGGGAGACACTGCCCCAGCTAGCAGTACCCACACTGTGCTTGGCAAAGTCCCCAGAGGGCTGACAGCCATCCCAGCAGATGCTGTTCCCATGATTAACAGATGCTAGGGCCACAGCCCAGGCCTCTTCAGGGACCAGAAGATCCTGTTCTCCACCTTTCCCCATCCAAAACCTCTTTGTTGCCAAGAGGTCTGTTGACACCATCAACCTCAGAGGTGTGGGCTGAAACACACGAGGAGCCGAAGCCAAGGTGTTGCAGGAATGTGGCTAAAAGCCATGGAGAACAAGGGGAGGCTCATCCCGTGCAGCATGGCAGGCCCAGCCCAGGGCTCCATGCTGGAGATGGACCTGAGGCACAAGGAAGAATTCTCACACCCAGGCTGGCCTGCTTGGGAGGCACTGCACTCCAGATCCTGCCCAGTGTCCCAAGGAACCAAAAAGAACAAAACCAAATACAAGCCCAACAGATCTAATTCCTGGATAATTCAACTGTCTACTCTATTCCAGAACGCTGCTCTGTGGTGAGCAGGAAAGGAACACTGAACCCATAGACTAGACACACCTCCCTCCAGTCCAAAGCACCCCCAAAACATCTGCCAGCCCCTCACCTTCCATCATCTCCACCCCAAAAACCACAGCCTTGGAGTTGGAGATGGTGATGCAGTGCAGCAAGGCTTCCATGCGCAGGTGGGAATTCACAAGGGCGGTCTCCACCCCAATCTTGGCCAGGCCAAGCCACAGCCCCACGTACTGGTTGCGAGACTCCATGAAGAGAGCCACCACGTCACCGGAGCGGAAGCCTTGGCCATAGAAGAAATTGGCCACCTGGTTGGAGTACTCATCCAGCTTCCTGAAGGTCCAGCTCTCGCCCGTGCCTTGGAAGATCAGTGCTGTCTTCTCTGGATACTTGCTTGCAGTCTTCTGGAAGATCTTGGCAATTGTGTTCTTCTCTCTGACATGCCTCCATACTTGCCACTTCACCCGCAACAGGACCAGCCCCGTGCTGCCAAAGAGGAACAAGACAGCAGCTGCTGAGTGACCCCTGCAAAACCACTTCCTCCAGCAAAGCCAGCACAGCATGAGGACCTTCCTAGGAGCTGCAACAAGCCAGCACGACAACAGGCCCTACTCTAGGTCAGCAGCAGCTCTGGGCATTCCTCTGAGCAGGTGGACATAGGCAGAGCTCATCTGCAAAGATGCTCATAGCCAGGGACTGATGGGAGGCTAGGGAGAGATGTACTTTGGAATGCTGCAGACAGGGATGTCCCTGATCAAAGGGGCATCTTTGAGCCTCAAGCGCTCCCTAAGAGGTGCCACTGCTCCCTCTCCACAAATCCTTGCCAGGAGTCGGCACAGCCTGGTACCAACTCAGAACCAACCCTCCACAGGAGCCTGGTGCCACGCCAGCAGCTTTAGGGACAGGGTGAAGTACAAGGACAGTCACTAGACTTCGAGCTCAGCTGAAATCTATCCTTCCTGTGAAAACTTTGCCCGAGAGTTTGGAGCCACCCGGACACAGCAGAGGGAGATCTCCTTCCAGCCGGGCCGGGTGCCAGCAGAAACCCAGGGCTGTGCAAGGAGCTGGGGGCTGTGCTCACACACCCCAGGGCAGGGCAGGGCAGAGCAGAGGGCCAAGGGGAGGGTGGATGGTTGGGCCATCCCAGCTAGGACACCTACGTGACATCCCTTCGTATTGTCTTGAGGAATATGAGGAAGAAGTCCCATCCGCCAGATCCCAGGTAGAATATGAAGAGAGCAGGGATGGCCTGGGCCCAGGACAGTTCCAGACTGACCCTGAAGAGCAGCAGCAGTGCTGCAAAAGCAGCCAGACGCAGCATCATGGCCTGTGGGGAGAGAGAAACCACGGCCATCAACCCACGCACACTGGACTTGATGATAACAAACCCATGGGCAGGGGACGTCTGACCAGCTCCCAATTTCCTGGATGAGGTCCCTGAGTCATCATTCCTCCTGGCAGTGAGGATGTAACCCAGAAGCCCAGAGCTCCTACAGATGTAACTTTATCTGACCTTGGAGATGGCTTCCAATTGAGCCACCAGGATGGCACTGGTTGGTGCCAGCTGAGAGCTCATTCCCACTTGGGGAGCCACATCCTGCACTCCAGCCAGGGGCATGGCCATGCACCAGCAGTGTGGGATGCAGAATAAAGTCACTTCCATGGATGTGGGAGCAGAGTCCTGGCAGAAGACCTTGTACAGATATTTGGCAGCCTCCAGGGCAATGCCAGGCTGGGCTGGCTCAGCCTCTCACTCGCAAACTGGCAAAGCCTAGCTCTAAATTCCTGCCTATCCCAGAGATCCCTCTGTCCCCAAAATCCAGATTCTCCCACACCCCCAACATGGGCTCTCCTGCACACCTGGCTCCAGGACAGCCAGCATGGCTGTTGGGAGAGCACAGCTGCACACACTCGCTGACACAGCTCAGACAGGAACAGGGACAGGAAACTCAGTCCTCTGAGCTCTGCTCATGTTTGCAAACCCTCGTGTTGGCAGGCAGTTTCCTGGCCTGGCTCTGCTGGAAACACTGCCAGAGCAGGTCAGGGATGAGGCCAAGCTGGAGTGGGCAGAACAAGGACTGTTGTTGCTGCCAGGAGTGCCCAAACCTCTGCCCCATGCCCTAGGGACAGTGACCGAGTCTCTGGTACCTGTCCCCCCCAAAACAGCACATCTGTCCTCATCCCAAACACAACCCAGATGTGTCTCTGAGACTCACAGGAGACCATGAGCTAGCAAAGACCGTCTTTGTGCTACAGCATTGGGAAGAGGAATGTGACAGCAACATGATCCTCACAGCTTCTAGATAAAACTGGCCTTTCCTGGCATGGACACAGGCCGAAGAGGAAGGAAACACTTCCGTCATTTCCATTTCCCTGTTGAAGGTGGATTCACTGCTCTGGAGCTGGAAGCCCTGAGTGGGCTCTGCACAGTTGGCAGGGCTGGGAGCCTTGTGGCTTTCTCTCTGATCTGTGCAGTCCCCTCACGTCCATGGAGCCTCTGTGGATTTGATACCAGATGCTGGCAGGGTGGGAGCCAAGGCAGTACCATGTGGTCACTGTTCCCTGGCATGTCACGCTGGCTGTCCCACCTCCAACCCATTCCACCAGCAGGAGGCTGGGATGCACCAGAGCACAAGATGCCACTCCCAGGTGGGGACGAGGGAACATCCTCCACCTGCAGCCCCTGTCCTGAGACTCCTGGGCACATCCTCCACCTGCAGGCCCCGTCCTG